CACTCACCCCTCCGCCCCCTGAGGTTGCTTAGCCCTCAGCTTACCCTTCCGCACATACTGACTGTACCAATTGCACCCTTGGTACACACAGCTTTTCATCAAACACAAATGCTGTTCACAGGTTGGCTCCCACTCCCAGTCCCTCTAGGATAGAAGCAAAATGCAGAAAAGTAGGAAGAAAAAAGCCCTTGGGTGAGCACATGAATCTTGCTCCCCTTCTGCCCTATTGTTGGCTTACATCTTGTTCTTTGAGTCACATTTTCACTGGATTCAGCTTTAGAGTTAAAAACAAAACAATAACAAAGGATTAACAAATATGTCTTAAAGTATTTTTGGCTCAATTGTGTGCTTGATTATTTGAAATGTGGCCAAAACCCTTGCTTCATTCCACTGCTGCAGTCAAGCAGCTTCTGTCGGGAAGGTATCCAGGTAAGAGGAATTAAAATAAATATCTCCGTTCCAACTTGTCTTCATCATCATTCTTTTGTTGTTGTTGTATTATGCTTAATTTTGTGAGAATAATGTTTCTAGCCTTTTGGAACTCTCCACTTAGAGTTTTTTTAAAATTGCATTGCGATAAATTAAAGAACCAGTATAACCTTTTAACGAGAAAAATAAGAGTTCTCTGTAAAAGACTCCCCCCCTCCCCCATCAAATTTGGAGAATAAGGGAAATTTTATCTTGTTGACAGGAATGTGAACTAAGAACCGAGGGAGCGCCATCTTTGTTCCATTACTGTTTTGACTTCCTAGATGAACTTGAATAAATGTCTTCTAAGCCTTAATTTTGCCATCTGTGGACTGGGGATGGAGTGTCCCCCTTTCTTTCTATGTTCAGATGGACATTGCAATAAAAGCAATAAACTAATGTGAAAGGAATAATTTATTTCTCGGGCTGCAGTGGTCTTCACTGACATTTGAAATTCCTTCCCAACTCCAGATTCTGTGATTATAAATAATAAATGCTTTCCCTCTTTCCAACCACTGTGTTTAAATACACTGGTAAAATCTAAAACCTCTTTTGTATCACAGTAAGCCAGGCTATATTTTTTGCCTTACACAGACTGCTAAGCACTCCTTTTCTCTCTTTATATTCAAAGCTAAGCATATACTTCTTTTTTTTTATTTTATTGAGGTCATAATGGTTTATAACATTGTGAAATTTCAGGTATACATTATTATTTATCAGTATTTTGTATAGACTGCATCGTGCTCACCACCGATAGTCTAATTTTTATCTGTCACCATATATATGTGCCCCTTTACCCCTTTCGCCCACCTGCAACCCCCATCCCCTCTGGTAACCACTAATCTGTTCTCTTTATCCATGTGTTTGTTTATTTTCCACATATGAGTGAAATCACATGGTGTTTGTCTTTCTCTGTCTGGCTTATTTCACCTAACATAATACCCTCAAGGTCCATCCATGTTGTTGCAAATGGGATGATTTTGTCTGTTTTTATGGCTGAGTAGTATTCCATTGTATATATATACCACATCTTCTTTATCCATTCATCAGTCAGTGGGCACTTGGGTTGCTTTCACGTCTTGGCTATTGTGAATAATGCTGCAGTGAACATAGGGGTGCATAAGTCTCTTTGAACTGTTGATTTCAAGTTCTTTGGATTAATACCCAGTAGTGGGATAGCTGGATCGTATGGTAGTTCCATTTTTAATTTTTTGAGAAACCTCCATACTGTTCCATAGTGGCTGCACCAGTTTGCATTCCCACCAGCAGTGTATGAAGGTTCCCTTTTCTCCACATCCTCTCTAACATTTGTTATATTTTGTGTTGGTAATTATTGCCATTCTTTTTTTTAATAATTTTATTTATTTATTTTTTCCCCCAAAGCCCCAGTGGATAGTTGTATGTCATAGCTGCACATCCTTCTAGTTGCTGTATGTGGGACTTGGCCTCAGCATGGCCGGAGAAGTGGTGCATCGGTGTGCGCCCGGGATCTGAACCCGGGCCGCCAGCAGCGGAGCGTGCACACTTAACCGCTAAGCCACAGGGCCGGCCCCAATTATAGCCATTCTAACAGGTGTAGGGTGATGTCTCATTGTAGTTTTGATTTGCATTTCCCTAATGATTAGTGATGTTGAACATCTTTTCATGTGCCTGTTGGCCATCTGTATATCTTCTTTGGAAAAATGTCTGTTCATATCCTCTGCCCATTTTTTGATTGGGTTGTTTGTTTTTTTTGTTATTGAGTTGTATGAGTTCTTTATATATTTTGGAGATTAACCCCTTGTTGAATATATGATTTGCAAATATTTTATCCCAGTTGGTGGGTTGTCTTTTTGTTTTGTTCATGGTTTCCTTTGCCTTGCAGAAGCTCTTTAGTCTAATGTAATCCCATTTGTTTATTTTTTCTTTTGTTTCCCATGTCTGAGTAGACATGGTATTCGAAAAGATGCTGCTAAGACCAACATCAGAGAGTGTACTGCCTATATTTTCTTCTAGGAGTTTTATGGTTTCAGGTCTTACCTTCAAGTCTTTAATCCATTTTGAGTTAATTTTTGTGTATGGTGTAAGATAATGGTCTACTTTCATTCTTTTGCATGTGGCTGTCCAGTTTTCCCAACATCATTTATTGAAGAGACTTTGCTTTTTCCATTGTATATGCTTGGCTCCTTTGTTGAAGATTAGGTGTCCATTGATGTGTGGTTTTATTTCTGGGCTTTCAGTTCTGTTCCATTGATGTGTGTGTCTGCTTTTGTGCCAGTACCATGCTGTTTTGGTTACTATAGCTTTGTAGTATATTTTGAAGTCAGGGATTTTGATGCCTCTAGCTGTGTTCTTTTCTCTCAGGATTGCCTTTGCTATTTGGGCCCCTTTGTTGTTCCATATAAATTTTAGGATTCTTTGTTCTGTTTCTGTGAAAAATGTCATTGAGATTCTGATTGGGTTTGCATTGAATCTGTAGAGTGCTTTAGGTAATATGGACATTTTAACTATGTTTATTCTTATCCATGAACATGGACTATCCTTCCATTTCTTTATGTCATCTTCGATTTCTTTCAATAATGTCTTATAGTTTTCATTTTGTAGGTCTTTCAGCTCCTTGGTTAAATTTATTCCTAGATATTTTATTCTTTTTGTTGCAGTTGTAAATGGGATTGTATTCTTGAGTTCTCTTTCTGCTAGTTCATTATTAGAGTATAGAAATGCAACTGATTTTTATAAGTTGATTTTGTACCCTACAACTTTGCTGTAGTTGTTGATTATTTCTAACAGTTTTATGATGGGTTCTTTAGGATTTTATACATATAGAATCATGTCATCTGCAAACAGCAAGAGTTTCATGTCTTCCTTTCCAATTTGGATACGTTTTTTTTCTTTTTCTTGCCTAATTGCTCTGGCCAAAACCTCCAGTACCATGTTGAGTAAGAGTGGTGAGAGTGGGCACACTTGTCTTGTTCCTGTTCTTAGAGGGATGACTTTCAGTTTTTCCCTGTTGAGTATGATGTTGGCTGTGGGTTTGTCATATATGGCCTTTATTATGTTGAAGTACTTTCCTTCTATACCCATTTTGTTGAGAGTTTTTATCATAAATCGATGTTGGATCTTGTCAAATGGAAAGCTGAGCACATACTTCTTAAGGTCTTTCTACCTCTTCTTTCTCTGTCCTATTACCCAAGGGTTAAGCAAATTTTAAAAGTTTTCAATGGTGCTATAGGATGAACAAGGTTGAGTAGCCTTCCAGTAGCACTGAGTGGGCCAGAGAAACTAAAAACTGAACGAACCTCCTTTTGGTTAAAAGAACTGTCAGAACTTTGAGGATGAAACAGTTCCCTTTCTTCTCATGAGTAGGATGAAGCAAATATCTGTGAAATGGCAGATTCCTAATGAAAACATGACTAAGTACTGAATACTATGGTATAAAACATTATTGCTGTTATTTTTTTAAATGGCTTATACCCTATATAAATCTATTTTTATTTTCAGATTAATTTTACTATCAAAAGCACTGCTTCCCAGTCTAATTTGCCTTCTCAAGGCTTTGAAAGCATTATCAGATAAAAACAAAACTAAGCATAGATTGAAAGTCTATAGATCTCACTGGCGCGTTGCTCTAAATAAAGTTTCATTAGTAATATCAGCCTAAATGCCATTGGTTCTTGCCCCTGATAGCTCACCTAAGACTTCTAGCCCCCAGACACTCTCTCACTGTCTCCCAACATGAGAGGGTCAGCAAAGTGTGTCCCCCATGTGTGCCTGAGCCGCACCTGTCTGTGGGTTTGGCACAGTTTGCTGGACTCTGATGCTTCTCCTTCCTTGGGCACCAGGGTCTCTCTTGGGATTCCGGTGAGTGCTGCCTGCCTCTCAGGCATTGCTGCTTCTCCACTTGGTGGATATGGCCAAGTACACCAGATTCCTCAAGGAGCCAAAGTCGCCTCCTCTCCCTTTCTGTGACACACTATTAGAGCAGTCCTCAAACAATATTATTTGTGCCTTGGTTTTTGCAGAGATTTAGTGAAGTAGCTCTTTGGGTTTTTTACTTACTGGCTTCCTGCTCTCTCTAAGTTGGACATGAAGCCATTGGAGACAGGGAGGGAGGGCAGAGAGATCCAGGCCTAGAACTAGCCCCTTTTTATACTCATGGTTGTCCCTCTCCTCTGACAGCCAAGACTTCATCCTAAGACTGGATCTCTCTTTTCATACATGAAGGACCTCCCAGGAGACTTCAGTAGCCCCCACCAAAACTTTCCTCAGGTTTCCCCACTAGTTCACTCAACAAGCCTGAATCTCCTGCAGTGGGCACATCCCAAACACATGCTAAGATTCCTACTAAGTGAGGATTTACTCTTGTTTTGATGAAAACTACCCCAGACCAACCCCAGGGATTGCACTTGAGGTTGAGAGGTTGTGGAGTTGAGGATGGGAGCAAAGTGGAAGTCAGTGGTGAGGGTGGTGGGGGTTGTGGGGGAGGCTGGGAAGCTTTCAAGAAGGCACTGTGTGCTTTGTCTCTTCACTCAGGGTCTGTATTCTCTCTGCAGAATGACATCTTTGAGTGGTCCAGGGACCACCGAGTCCACCACAAGTACTCGGAGACTGACGCTGACCCCCACAACGCCCGCCGGGGCTTCTTCTTCTCCCATATTGGGTGGCTGTTTGTTCGCAAGCATCGAGATGTCATCGAGAAGGGGAGAAAGCTTGACGTCACTGACCTGCTTGCTGATCCTGTGGTCCGGTTCCAGAGGAAGTAAGTGATGAGGCACCATAGAGTTGCCCCTCAGGGGACAGGACCAAGAGATGCAGAACACCATGGGGAGCAATAATATCCCCAGGTAGTTCTCCTCACAGCACTTACCCTGATGATTTGGTCTCCTTGTTAGGATTGATCTCTGTTTATTCATTCCCTTTTTCTCATTCAGTTTTCCCTGTTTACACATTAGTTTTTAATTTTAATTTGAATTTGAAATGGATTTCCTTTAAGCCCATGTCATTTTCTTCTGACCAATCTGCATGACTGATTTCATGGAATCTCTGTAGTTCCCCACTCCTCCATTGTGCTTCCCTGGGGTGGCGGGGAAGGCGGGGAGGATTTGCTTTATTTTAGTGATACACTTGACTCCAATAGGACTGGACTCTCCAGGTATCCTGCTCTGTTCCCCTGGAATTCCTTTGTAGTGAACTCTCCCCTCCCCCACTCCTGGAAATGTTATACCAGTAGGTTTCTGTGCAGAGAAAATGTGACTGTGTAACAGAGAGCCCCTTGCATGAAAAGAAGTATGGCTTAGAAATATGCTCATTTTCCCCTCAGCTTCTCCTTTTACATTGGAGGGGGCAGTAGAGCATAGTGAGAAAATGGTGGACCATGGAGACAGACTGCCCAGGATCAGAATCTGTGGTTCCTCCACATACTAGCAAAAGAACTGACCACTCTAAGCTCAGTTTCAGTATAAGGTGGGAGTAACAGTAGTACCTATCTCCTACAGTTTTTATGAGGACTTAATGAAAAAAAATGTATGGAAGTGCCTGGCGCACAGTGAGAGCTTAGATCAGTGATGATGATTATTATTATACAGGCAGTTGCTACTCCAGAGGATTCCATGTGTTTCCATCTCCTGCTGCTATTGGTTTCACCATAGGGTCTTCTCTGTGCTCGTGAATACACCTCTCTCAGGTGGACACACACAGTATCAATAATGAGAAGTTTTATAACAGAAAATAACAAGATATTTTCAGTTAACAATGAAATGATTTGTTGATTTTGGTTTTTCACTATGAGAGTAAAATATTAAAGGTCATTAAAGAAAATCTGCAAAATCCAGAAAAGTAGAAAGGAGGAAATCATCCACAGTCCTAACACATAAACAGAGCCACTATTAATATTCTGTAGTATCTCCTTCTATATTTTATGCATATATGTGATATATTTTTGCATGATACCAGTCGTACTGCATATGTAATTTTGTGTGTCACTTTTTAACTTCAGATTATATTGTAGGCACCACTGTCAAAGGCTGCATAAGTTCACCAGTGAAGTGTCATAGTTTATTTAACCATCACTCTGTGACTGGAAATATATGTCATTTCTCATTTTGTGATATAAATGATGTCCTATACAATTAGTAATGCTTTGGGACAGCCAGACCTTAGATTAATTTGAAAAGCTCAGATGAGAAGGCAAAGGATCTTCTATTTTATTAATGAGAACTGAACTGAGTAAAATAGTCTGGGTTTCTCTGGCCATAAAAATGGAAGGTTTTTTTCGTCTTTTCCTTTAAAAAAATGTGGTAATCTGATTCATTAGGTGTGTACTCATGGTGCATGGTGCAAGACTGTTTCTAAATGCATGCAGAAGAACAAAGACTATTTCAGCATGTTCCCTGAATAGTTATCTGAGAACGTCTTTCATCACCAGTCCAGTGACCATAGGGAGTTGTAGCTATCAGAAACCATCCACTCATAGCATCATTTCATATGTATCATTGAGCTCCTGCTAGGAATCGGTGCTGAGGATGCAACCTTAAACATTGGTCTCTGTCCCCCCGGAATTTGCAGGCTAGCAGGAAACCCAAAAATTAATTTACAGACAATTATACTCTAGTGAGAGGAGTGCTATAATAGGGTAGTACAGGGTATCAGGGAACACAGAGAGGGGTCTCCTAGTCCACACTGCAGGCTGGTGAGGGTGAGGGAAGGCCTATGGAAGGAACTAGATTCTTAGCCAAGACCTGAAAGATGAAAATAAGTTAGATGAGGATAGGGGAAAGGATATTTAATATGGCTGTCATTTCATAGAACTATATACAGCCATTGAACTTTAGAGCCAGGAGGGACCTTACAAATCATTTAGCCCCTGCCTTCCATTTTTCCTATGGGAAAACTTAAGCAACAAAATGTAGATAGAAAGTTGGAGATAGAAGTACTGTCTTAGTCTATTTAGGCTGCCATAACAAAAATACCATAGACTAGGCTTAGACAACAAACATTTATTTCTCACATTTGGAGGCTGGGAAGTCCAAGATTAAGGTGCCAGAAGACTTGGTGTCTGGAGACAGTCCACTTCCTGGTTCATAGATGGCCGTCTTCCAGCTGTGTCCTCACATGGCAGAAGGGGCAATGGAGCTCTCTGGGGTCTCTTTTATAAGGGTACTAATCCCATTCATGAGGGCTCCATCCTCATTACCTAATCACCTCCCAAAGCCACCACCTCCTAATATTATTGCATTAGGGATTAGGTTTCAACATATGGATTTTGGGGGGACACAAACATTCAGTCTGTAGCAAGTACCTACATCTCAGATTATTTGCTCAATGTTCTTTTGCTTATACTTTGCTGTTGGAAAAGGGCTGTAACAGTTCTCTGAAGTGTGGGGGAACACGCATGTCCTTTGGTAATTATGGAGAACAGGAGATCCGTAATCCAAAATAAGGCTTAGAATCACTAGAGGAAGAGAGCTTCCAAGATGCACAGAGATAGTGCAGTGGTTTGGGTATGTTCATGTTTGTGAAGCCAGCTTTACCGGTCCTGTCAGTCAGGCCATGTGGAGGAGACAGTGTCCTTAATGAATGAGTCCTTGCACTTAGGGATGGGAGCTGGAGGGGTGGACCCATCATCAGTGGCACTGACACATTAGGTCTCAGTCCTTGCTACCCTAGGCTGAGTGGGGGGCTTCCTGAGTAACAAAGAAAGGTGCCCAGCTTGGGCATCCAGTCCTGGGTCATTTCAGCCGCACACCTTATAGAGTTCCTCTCCTGGGTGAAATTCCCACCTGCTCCTATATGGTTCTCTGAGGGCAACAGTCCCTATTCCAGTTTCGGTGGCCAAGGTTTGCAGCTGATTCCACTGCCTTCCCAGGGTGCAGTGTTTGAGCAAACAGATCCAGCTAAGTGCCACTTGGAGAGTTTCCTCAAACAGGCAAATGTGTAAAGGACAGAGACCAAGGATTTAAACTCCTCCTTCAGTCAGTCCACCAGCACTAATACTGCAGTTGATTGATAAATTTGTGCTTAGCCATCCTAATGACAGCTTACCAAAGAAAAGCTTGCTAGAAAGCCAGCCTTGATCAACTTTCCATTATATGTTAAAGAGAGAAGATAGTGGCATCAAAGATAACAGGAAGACAACACAGTTCAAGCTGTAGTTCCAGACTTTTCCTCTAAAAGGTAATTTTACCAAGGCTGTTATAACAAGTGGTTAACTGGACTACTTCAAGTTTTGCTCTACTGTCAAGTTGTGAAGGACGAAAAGGCAAGCATTAGGAGGTGAGAGGGAGAGAACCTAGTCACATCACATTTAGTGCCGCTGCCCTAGGTCCTGTGCCTTCAAAGGCCATGCTTCTCCCCACAGGGTGAGGAGATCACAGGGCAAAGGGACATGCCACCTGGGACCTTCTCCCACTGTAGACCATGCCTTGGGCAAATTCCTTGCCCAAATGGTTGTGAGCCCACTTCCAGAGCATACACCAGCCTCTCCCGGCTTCTGTCCTTCTGGTGGGAAGTGTGTGTACCCTAGGCCTGAAGAGTGGCCAAGGGGCAGCGTTAGCCTGGAGATGAGCTTGGAAGTGTGAGGTAAGACGTCCACACAAAGCAGACAGAGCTAGGGGTGGGAAGAAAAGGGGGCGGGCTGCAGCCAAGGGGCCTTCACCTCTGCCCTGGGCCTGGGCCCTGTACATGTTGGGGGTGAGCCTGGAAGGAAGCCACTCAGAAGGTTGACAGTGGGTCTCTCAGTTAGGAACTGTGTTTGGCTTAAATAAGATAGAAGTTTTATTTCTCCCACATATAAAAGAGTTGTGGAAGTCCAGGTCATGGCAGCAGCACAGGGTCAGTAGAGAACCGGATTCTTTTATCTTTCTACTCCACCATCCTTCGCTTGTGACTTTCGTTCTTTCATTTTATGGTCCAAGGTGACCACTAGAGCTCCAACCAGAAGGAAGTTGGGGGTGGCGTGAGGGTACCATTGCTCAGTTGAGTCAGTCACCTTATAAGGAGCTTTGCCAGAAGACACACAGCCTATCCACTCACCTCTCATTAACCCTATCTGCACTCAAGGGGAACTGGGAAATGTAGTCTCTTCGTTGATGCATTGCATCCCTGAATAAAATCCCGGTTTTGTTTCTACAGAAGAAAGGGTGAATTGATATGGGGTAAGCAATTAGCAGTCTCAGCCATAGTTCCTTAATTGTTCTGCCTTAAGCAAAATAGCTGTCACACGTTACTCAGTCTTTTAGCATTTTTGTGAAGCAAGTGAGTAGCCTCTCTGTCTCCATTTAGTGAGCAAAAACTGGAACCTCAAATCATTTTTCTGAGATGGCAGAATGAGGATAAAATCCAGACGTGGTTTCTCCTGATGCTTTGCTTATCCCACTGATTCCCAACTTAGATAAGAAATTCCTGTAAAAGTAACATGCAGACACTGTCATGTGTGTTTTTGAAGTAGTTGGGAATGATACTAGCCTAGTCCAGACACATGAAAACAAGATCCTTGCCTCATCGCCATGGTGATGGGATAAACTAAGAGAAAATAGTTGGAATGATTCAGAAGAGTGAAGCACTTCTGTTTTGGTGCCCTGGGAAGAGATCAAAATGTATAAATCTCACCATTCCAGGAAGAAAGGCACTTGAATAATCTTTTTGAGGCCTATTTCACTATTTCACCTCAATTTGTCCCCTGGTCTGTTATCATTAGTCTTTTTTTCTTCCACAGTTAAGTATCACATCTCTCAGTGATACCCCCTTTTTTCCGACTGTGTG